ATAATTTAACCAACACAAGTTCACTACCAAGCTAAACCACTACAAATTAGTAAAGCTTGCTCTCCCAGGTAGTAACATTTGGTGCCGGTTGTGTGGATGATATAAATCCTCCTTTGTTATATGTCCCATTTTCAAATTTTACTTCGTATAAGAGAAGATCACGATTATAATCACCAAAGATATCCCAATACTTTAGGACTTAGACAGTATCTTTCTATACATTCTCCTGATCCATCCTGTACTATTTGTCACCCACCTACTCCTATTAGCACTGTACAATTTTTAAATTTTTGGAATTGGTATTCTGCTGAATTTCCATCCTTTTCCTATACTCTTCGCACTCAAACTAACTTTTCATTGTTAGAAAATCACACCTTTAATGATATTCCAGAATTAGTACTTACAAACCTTTTTTCTAGTATAAGACATACACAATTTCCTGGAAATTATCCTATTCTTATAAATACATTTTTTGAAGCTTATTCAAGAACAAATAGATTTACTGAAGACGCATTTGAAGTATTATATACTGATAGTGAAACTCGCAGTATCTCATCTGTCAATTCTTCTGAAAAAAGTTTTTCTGAAAATTCTGAACATTCTTCTGTTGAAGAAATAAATCCCGTATTAAATAGACAATTACATCAATTACCAATAATGGCACAACAACAACCACAAGGTCTAAATCAAGTAGCTGCCCAAATAGCTGCATTAGTACAACAACTTCAAAATGCTCCTGCGCCAGTAGTTAATGTAGCTGCTGCACAGAGAGAATTAAATTTAGTCTCCTATCCTGATTTTCATGGAGGAGACCAAGATCCAATAACTTGGATTGAAGAATTAGAAAAAGCTTTTGCAGCAAATGAAGTTCAAAACAATAGAAAAATAAATATTGTAACTCCACATCTTAAAGCATCTGCTGCTACATGGTGGACAATTAGAAGAGGTCAACAACCTCTAATTGATAGATGGAATGATCCCAATAATATTCCTCAAAGTTTCCGCCCTACATTTATTGCACATTTTAGAACAGCCACTCTTGAAGCAAAATGGTTTGCTCAACTTACTCAAAGAAAACAATTACCTACAGAAAGTGTTGACACATATCATGCAGAGATGGAAGAATTAATCAGACGTGTAGAAGCAGGTGGACATCAATATCCTGACACATCTAAAGCACAAATGTTTATTAATGGTTTGCGCACTGAACTTTCAGCTGGTGTTGCTGCTTTTACTCCAAATACTTTACAGGCTGCTTATGAAAAAGCAAAAGCTTTAGAAACTATTCATAAACAAAATCCCGTATATGCTGCTTTTCTTGGATATCCTTCTGTTGGTCCATTCTCTACAATGAATGCCAACTTTTCATCTGATAGTCATAACAACAATGACAATACTGGATCCGCCTTAAATAAACTTACTGAAGCTATTACTGCTGTGCTTGACCATGTGAAAAGAGATACTCCTCGAACATCTTATAATAATAATAATAATAATTCCAATAGAACAAAACCTACTTGCTATAACTGTGGTACTGTAGGACATATCAGTCGCGAATGTACAAGACCGCGAAACTACCAACGGAATAATAATTCTGAAAACTTTGGAAATAATACTTCTAGAAGTAATTATCAAAGAAACAATAATCCCTCAGCACCCCCATTGTCCTCTAATAATGTTCCGGGGGATAATTCTAATAATCAACAAGCAGAAGCCATGCAAACTTTATTGAATATGCTTGGTTCCGCGAATATTAATAACAATGGAAATAATGAATCTCCGCGAAATAATAATAATGACGAAGGAAGACAATCTTATTTTAATGTTTATGATGACCAACCTTTTTATCCAGCAGAAAGAACAAATCGTCCTAACAGAACTGATCCTATAATAACAAGACAAAAGAAAAAGACAACAGAAAATAAAGAAAATGAGATTAAAGAAGTGGAACCTGCAACAATTGTTGACTTTGAAGAAAATCCCTATCAACCTGAAACTGTAGATGTAGAAATGCCTAATGAAACAAATGAACCAAAAGAAGTCTTAGAAAAGAAACCAAATTCTACAAAGAAAAGACAAAAAGGAAATCTTCCAAGAAGAAAACAATTTGAAGAACAACTTCCCCAAATATCTTCGCTAGTAACACCTTACTCCATAGTAGCAGATTTACAAAATAAACAAGCAAATATTACTTATGGTCAACTTCTTTTAGCTGCACCTAATATGAGACAAGATCTCGCAAAAGGTTTACAGAAAAAGAAAATGCCTGTTAAAAGAAAATTTAAATCTAATCTTGGCGTACAACCTTCTCATCGCACAACAGCATTGTATTGCAATGCCAATATCATGGGAAATAATATTCCACTTATAGTTGATAGTGAATCCTCTGGTAGTGTAGTGTCATCTCATCTTCTTAAAAAATTAGGTATTCAAATTGACTGCCCTTCCTTTATCAACATGATAAATATTCATGGCGAAAGTAAAAGAGCTTTAGGAGAAATTTCTGATTTCCCTTTTGTTGTAGGAGGAGTAAAGATCCCTATAGATGTTGTAGTTACTGATGCCTATTCTTACCAAGCTATTGTTGGCAATGACTG